TATTCCCCATGAAGCGCCGCATTGTTTCAGACGCTTCCACGAGGAGTTCTGAAGCTGGTGCCCTTCGGACGCCGGTCAAACGGCGGCAAGACATTCCCCCGGCCAAGTATATCATCAATTTTCATAATGCAATAATACTGTTTAATGGAATGAAAACCATGAATAAATAAATAAATAGGATATAGATGGATAAATAATAAGAAATAAAGTATTGATGAATATTATTAAATTATATTATATATTATTTATTATATTATATTATTGAATTATAGATCCCGGTGAGCAAGAAAATGTCTGCTTTCTGTCTTCTAAGTTATCTAAACCAATTTATCCCAGAATCTTGCCAAAATCAGACATTTGAACAATATTTGTTGAATAACTTTGGATAAAAATCAGACAACATGTCCAATTTTAATCCAAAAGATGTCCCAGTTCCCTCCAACATCTTTATTTTACAATATTCAATTTATCTTGCAGACAAGTTCTCCACACTTGTCTGCAAGTTCTTCAATTTTCCAGGACAAGTTTGGAGAACATGTCCACAAGTTCTCTTAAACTTGTCTGCTGCAGCACCCTTTCCATGTTTTCAAAAACATGTCTATGGAACTCATTTTAAGGAGTTGCAGACATTTTTGGAGAACTTCTTGCTCTCTGGAATATGGATAAATAATAGTAAAATATTGAATAAATACAGGTCAAGTCTACAGCAATCTTGTCCATAACTGTTTTCTCTGAAGATTTTTTGGTACCTGTGTACTTCCACTATGCTATAGGGGTACTCTACAACCAAATTTTTTCTATACAAGGGATATTTCTTGTTTTTTGAGTGTTGTTGAGAGTCCCACTGTAAATGTAAATTTGTAACTATGAAAAATAAATTTATTTATCAATAACTCAATGAATGTACCAAATCAGTACCACAGTGATCAAGACTTACTTGAAAAAATGTCAAAAATGCATGCAGATGAGTTTCACAGGCATTATTTGGAGAACTTTTCCAAGAAAATTGTGCTCCAATGGACAAGTTTAGAGAACTTGTCCACCAGACTTCACTTGACAAGCTAAATGGGCATTCAATAGGACTGTTCAGTCATGATGTGGGCTTTACCTGTCTGGCAGATGAGATCAACTATAATTCAGGAGATCATGGGTTCAATCCCAGAGTGTAAGGAACTGAGACATATTTTGGATAAATATCTGACATGTCCAATTTTTTTCCCAAAAGTTGTCCCAGTTCCTTCCAAAAGGTGTCCATTTTTGAACCAAAAGACAGCTGCTTTTGGTTAGCTTTTGGATAAAAAATTGGAAAAGTTGTCCAATTTTGATCCGATACTCATCCCAGCAAACTTGTCCAAAACATGTCCAGTTTATTGGGAAGATTCTTGGATAAGTTTGTTTGGATGAGTTCTTGAACAGAAATTGGCAGTATCTTGCTCACTGGGTATAAAAGTGGACTGTCACTGCAAAAATGTGTGAAAAAAATCTCTATATTAATTTTTGGCATACAGTTAGACCCCACATGCAGACAATTCAACCAAGGAAAAGTTTATTTTTCAATAAAGCATAAAAATGGCATGAAATACAGGCACTGACTCAACATGTGGACATTGCATGATAAAATTGCCAACAAATTTCAGGAAAATTGCTTTTTATTAGGCTTAATTGAAAGAAACAGATGTTTCCAACCCAAAGATTTTTGCAAGAAAGTTTTTGGCATTTATCTCATCTTTTTCCCATCCATTCAGCTAATTTGAAAAAATTACTGGAAGCATAGAGGGACTTCCTTCTCTCTTTGTGACTTGAATGTTATTTTTACAGATGCCAACATTTCAATGTACTGCTGTACAGAGGTACACTATTCATTGCTCCAAAGTTTCTTAATGAGTTGAAAAAATATTCACTGAATCATATTCAAGTGGCAAAATTTTTTGTTCATGAAATTCCAAATAATACTCAATCAATAAAGCACCAATTTAAATTTATGTAATGTAAGTCTACAGGTAAACCAGACTCAACTTAGTGGCATTTCAACTTAAGGAAAATCTTGATGCACAAATTGTGTCTGCATCTTGGGGCTCACTGTATTTGGTATTGCATTGCATGTGACAGAAGCTTCGAGCAATGAAAATCTCTCCACAGTGATTGTTACTGTTCTTCAAATTTTCTTGTAGAAAGAGAGTACACCTGTATATACAGTATTTTCTTTCCAACAAATATATTTACTAATAAAAATCATTTGCTCAACTAATGAACCTTACTTAAAAAACCTGTTATAATGTTTCTTTTTTTATTTTCTGAATAAATTCCCATGTCATCTCACATTTTAAAGCTTGAAATCTAGATTCTTATTAGTCCATTCCAAAGTCTAGGAATAAATCAATGCAAAAAAGGATCAAGAAAAAACCTGGAACAAGGAAAATGTGGAATCTTTCCTTTGATTTTCTCATCTGATTGCCTTGTAAGCTCATACAACACATTATATTTTGGTCACGTGCCAATTCATATTGAAGACTCAAACTGTAGGATCATCAATGTGATTTGATTGTATGGAGAAGAGTTAGCTCCTGAATTCAGTTCTCCTTACCTGAGTCCCCTTGCAAAATATAATACAGAATTATCAATTGTTTTTTATTATGTTCATTTAAAGTAATCTCAATTTTTGAATGATGTGAATTGAAACTCCAGTTTATCAACCAGCTCTGTGTCATATGCTTTTTTGAAGGCGAAAAGATGGCGGCAGTGCAGGCGATTTCATCATTAAGGATCCATATGAGAAACGTTCCCAGTCACCTGGGCTCAAGAATCCTGGGGGAAATGTCCCAGTTCCACCTCAGGCAGCTTTGGAAAGCATGAGCAAGTTCTGGAAATTTCTAGAAAGTGCTCATGATGGAAACAAAGGCTGGAGTGGGATCTCCAAACTTGCATGCTCCTTGCCTGAAAATGAGTTCAAGGTTGGAATTTTTTCAAACCACATATTACCTTTATTTTTCCCCGGCAGGGTACCAAAATCCCAGCCAGGTTCAGTAGAGCTTCAGAGAATTTAATTTGGCAGTTGCAGTTATTTCTGAAAGTCTGAGTTTTCCCTCTGTGACCTTCAATCTAATATGGTCAATGTTCCAGNCTTTCATTGAGCATCTCTGGATGAGTGAGGGAACACCCAGTCCTGTGAATTAAAAAAGTCAGCAATGATGATTTTTTTAAAGTCAATTTTCTCATTCAGGTGAAAAAGATGGCAGGACTTTTCCCATCTTTACCCTACACATACAATCATGCTTTTTTCAAGTGTGCCCTCAAATCAGTGAAGTATGAACAAAAAATATTTGCACTGAAAGTATAGCTGCCTTTTTTTTACATCCTCCTATTCCTGCATGAGCATTGGCATGGGACATGAGTAACCTGATGCTATCTCTAGAAATATGCCTTGACTTCTCTGGTTTTAGCATATTCTTCATTCTGGATAGGGCATTTTTCTGGACACTAAGTGAGTTATTGGTACTAAGATGGCATGTCACTTATGAGAGCACAGCAATAAGGACAGAGATTTGTTATATGAGAGTTTGTGGCACTTTGTGGGGACAGTGGTGGGTACTCAATCAAGTTTGAAATGTTCAATAAAATAAGGAAGTTTTTTTCAATGTTTGTGGATGGTATACATTGTAAATAATTGCACCATGACTGACAATAAAATTAAAAAGAGAATTGATATTGCCCTGAAGGTATCATGATCTCTAAATTTAACACCTCTTAATTGAATGTTATGATGAATGCGCCTTTTTCTCTTACTTTTTTGCTTTTGCATTAATTATCCAGGATAAGTTGTGGAAGGCGTACCGGAACCAAGTGGTGCCCTTGGAGATGGCGACCCCGACCTGCAGCAAGCTGTATG